GTCTTAGAATTCGCATATTGTGGCATCACCATGCTACCAACTACCATGGCAGTATCTTTGCGTTGTATATATGTGTTGTCCATCAAAGAGCATGTGTGCAAGCTGTTGAATTTTCGAACCTTGAACAATGTTGATTCATTTATGCTGGTGGACTTGAAGTGCCACATACAATTGTCCCCAACACACAAAAGGCAGTAGCTACAGAATAAAAATAATTCAAAAAATACTATGCAAATTGTAGCTACAAAATACGAGGCCGTTTATGCACAACAAATTATTTTAAAAAATTTATATACATAAAAACTACAACTAATACACAATATGAATTTGACAAATAAAATGTTCATACCTTCTTACACTAGACCTTTTCACCCTAAACGAAACTTATTCGTGACAGAATAGTGCTTCATTGCACTGCCAATTTTTTGCTTGTCTTGGTAAACTTGGCCTACTTCAATTACATTTGGCATATTTTTTGTTATGATGATACTTTCATATTCCACAATTACCGGAGATGTTGGCATATCAATCAACTTCACTATTCCTGATACTTCTCCAATTGTATTACAATTGCTTGACAATTGTACCCTGTTAGTATTGCGATAATCAGAAGTACCTGCACTCAATTACAAGTATAGTAATTCAGCCCTCTGTAAATTCAGGTGTTCAGTATTTGATAGAATACTTGTAGATACTTTGTTCTGTGATCACATTTTTATTTTTTCAAACCTTAAGTACTATGCAACAGTTACATTTCAATTGTACTTAGAGACATAACAGTTGAACTACATTTGTTATGTAGTATAATTGTGGATAATTTGTAGTAAAATTGTAGAACACTTGAAATTGAAAAACATTAGCACTGGAAAAACAGAGCAAACCTGCAATTGTGCTCGCATTCGACATACTGCATTCCAAATCAAAATCACGTACTGTTATACATAGCGGATACATTCCTAAGTTTTTGTTCTCCTTTTTCGTCTCCATATACACTCGAACTCCAATATCGTTCCAAATTTCCATTGGAGGACAACGTTCATTGATAGTGTATTTGATTTCGATGATTTTTGCGGAGGTACCGATCATTAGATACTCTGCAATTGCGAAATTCAATTGACTATAATTTGAATCTTCATTGACTACAATTTTGTCAGTATCAAAATTTTTGTATCTCCCAACGCTATCCCACCGACCATTGAGATGAAGCATAATCGCCAATTTTGATATTATGTCGCGAAATTCAATTCAATTGTAGCTAATTGTTTGCAATTGTTTTCTTCATAAGCTTTTTTTTTTTTTGAGTTTGTTGATTATGGAAAACCAGAGGAATCTGCGTAATAGAAGGATTCTACAGATATGTTGCCTTGATTATGGTGCGATGATTGCGTCAGTAAAATCTCTAACTGAAATATAAGCTATCCCAAAACCCCGCGTCAAAATAAGGAAGTGTACCGCACAAAGAAGTCTAGTTTAAACAAATGTATATTTTTTGTAGTTAAAACGTGTTTAGGTAGGGTAAATACAAAAACTGAGATATTTTTGGCAATAAGGTTTCAAATAGTGTATAGAAATAAAAAAATCTCATAAACTCTGGCAAAATCCAAGCTCGACTTTGGCGCCCTGTCTTGGCCCAACACTGACTACTTGTAGTAATTTAGGGAAACTACAGTCTACGTCCATTTATAAGTAGCTTATTATAAAAATTAGTCAATTCATTAAATATTACTAATATTAGCCAAGTATTATCAATATTAGCCAATTAGCTATTTGTAGCAAAAAAAAGATCAAATTTTTGCTTTCTTTTGAGTAAGTGTTATTAGAATAGATTGGGTACATCTTAAGGAGTTTGAATCTCAGTTTTGGGATGATTTGGTGGAGTTTTAAGGTGGTTTGAATTGAAAATTCCAAGTAGAAGATGAAAAATAAAATAATAATAGTATATGTGTCACACCGTGTATTATTTGTACATCATATATGTATCAAATGAGTATCACAGTATATCCATATATACATGTGTGTGTGATACATGTGTCGCAAAAAAACTTTTCGACTCGATTTTAACTACGTATTTTGACACCAAATCACCTCCAATCTTCCTCAAATTTTGTATATTGACTCATCTATATGTTTTCAATGAATTTCAACCATATTCATTGAAAAATGCCCTTCTTTGCTTAGATTTTTGGAATCTTGTATATATATTTTTTTGTATTTCATCACCTTGTTTGCTACCTCATCCATGAAATTTCTCTCCGTCTTGCATCTAATGTTGCTGATCACGATTAAAAATAAGAAAGGAGATCTTTGCATGTGATTCTTGGAGAGAAAGAACCTTATTTATTTGGGTTTTCAATTTTTATATGTGCTTGGCTGATTTTGGTAAGTCTATGATTAATGACTAGAGATAAGTAAGTTGGAACTTATTTGGGACATTTATGTAAGATTCCAGTAATTTACTGTACTAATCTATTCCCATTAGGGTTGTGCATAATTTGATAAATATCGAATTATCGTACCAAAATCGAAATTTGGTATTTGGCATTTGATTTTTTGAAATTTGATATGATATTTGGTTTAAATTTTTAAAAGAATTGGTAGTATTAGGTATGGTATTCGTATTCAAAAATAAATTACTAAAATACCGATATCATACCGAAATATATACTAAGTTACACAATACACGTATTATTAATTATAACATAAATATTAAAGTTCTAAATTTTTTACGTTATTTTTATAGTTTTCTTTAACCTTTATCACCTTTATTCCACTATACTGGTCTTTTCCCCTTTTCTTTGGTTGTCTACTTATGTTTCAACCTTTCTCCTGTCTAGGTTTAGCGTTTATGGTTTTTTCCCCCCACTATATTATAATATTTGTTATTTTCGTATTTGTGAATAACCTACTTAAGAAGATTACAGTCTATGGCTTTATGCATTAGTTAATATTCGAGAGAACAAAACAACGTTACCAGATCGAATAAATCGAAGCTGAAAGGAGAAAAATCGAACCATACCAAATTTAATTAGGCATGATATTGGTATAAAATTTTAAGAAATCGAATACCGAAAATACCGAACCGAAATATCTAAATACCGTACCGTACCGTACCGACGAATACCCTAATGCTCCCCATGAAAATGTGAGGACATTTTTCCCATGTAAAGAAATATTTATTAGCACCTTAGTAGTCTAAATAGTGTTATCTTTTGTAAAACTTGTTTCAAATTACTATTGCAATCACAAATGGCATTTGGACACATTACCATTCACACTACCAAATCATTTAAAATCCACAATCAAAGATATTTATATGCCAATTTCACCCATAACATATGATCAAATATATTGGGCTCTTACAATAAATGGTATCTTCTCTGTTAAATCTATTTACAATTCTCTAATCAATACCACAAATCCACAATACTCCTACAAGTGGATTTAGAAACTTCATATTCCACCAAAAATATCCTTTTTCCTCTGGTTACTTTGTCACAACAGACTCCCAACGAGTGTGTATCTTGCAAAATTAGGTATCCTTAATTCATCTATCTGTCCACAGTGTCATATGGCTCCTGAAACAATAATCCATCTCTTTCTAGAATGTCCCAATACAATTCAGCTTTGGACTGTACTTAAAGTCTCATTTCCAATTCCCCATTCTTCTACATACCAAAATGACAATATACATTGGTTACACCAATTTATACATTCACCCTTACTATCAACCCCTCATAAAATTCCATATACAAGCTTTGGATTATAAGGAACAAGAACACATTCGACCATCAACGAATCCTTTTAAATATACCCTTTATATTAAAACTGGTTGCGGAATATTATTTTCTAACAAATCCAAAATTAAAATATCATTCTCTAACACCTCTATACATAAAATGGCATCCCCCAAACCATAATACTTACAAACTAAACATTGATGGGTCTTGCTCATCTAACCAGGAAAAAAAATGGTATCAGTGGTATTTTCCGAAACCACCAAGGAAAATGGATCATGGGATTTGCAGGAATATCCAAACAAGGCACAAGTGTTTAGACAGAACTTCTAGCACTGCTCATGGGGCTGAAAATTGCTGTACAACAGCATCTCAAACCAATCATCATTGAGACAGATGCACATGCAATAATCGGTATGTTTAACTCAAGTATAATGCACTACACTACTTTTATTAACGATTGCAGGTTATTACTCCAACAGCTGGATAGCCCTCCTCTACAACACATCTACAGAGAGCAAAATTGTGTAGCCGATAGTTTAGCTAAATATGGAGCAATGCATGCACAGGAGAGCTGCATACTTTTTGGAAGAACACCATCTTTTGCAAAGCCTTCTTATGAACAAGATCAAAACGGCACATTTCAAAGACGGCTAATTACAACTAACTCCAGCACTTCAACACAATCACTCTCTGAGACAACTACTTTGTGTAATAGTAGTGTTCTACCTAGTATTAATAATAGTGTTTTATCTAGTTCTATCTCTCTTACTAGTAATAGTTCCCACACGGGGACTTTAGTAGCAAACTCTAGTTTTGCAACTATGATGCCCCTTACGCATCTACTCAACTGTTGTCCTATACGTTTTTGATTATCTATAATATAACTGCATCTTTTCAACCAACAAAAAAAAAGTGTTATCTTTTGTTTTAACATAAAGTAGGAAGTTGACAGAGAGCAACAACGCTATTACCCTCGGCCAACTTTAATTGATTTTTTTTCGCCTGTTTTCACACGTATTAAGAAATTTACCTTTTAGCACTAATTAATAATAAAATTGACCATATTAATCTTAATTTGGACCTTAAGAATATAACAAACTCCAAGAATAACTTAAAAAAAAAATTAATTCCTTTTTGATATCCAAAAAAATTAAATACTATGGATTATAAAAAATTATCAAAAAATTAATTAAAATGGACGGGAGGAGTAATGTTTTAGGGACTATGTTTGTCATTTCCTCGAATAAAAAGAGTATTAAAGGGTCAAACGAAGTCACCACTGTGGTGTTAAGTCAGTCCATCTTCTTACTCAATTCAAATCTCCAATTTCTTCATGGCTTCTGGTGAGGGTTTTCCTTCTTCATCTTTACAAGCAGACAACCTCATTCATGTATTCTGGGACGAGGGCATGCTGAAACATGACACAGGAACTGGTGTTTTCGATACAGGAATGGACCCCGGTTTTCTTGATGTTTTGGAAAAGCACCCAGAAAATGCAGACAGGGTAAAGAATATGTTGTCCATTCTCAAAAGGGGTCCTATTTCACCTTTCATTTCTTGGCACCATGGCCGCCCTGCTCTTATCTCTGAATTGTTATCTTTCCACACTCAAGGTACCCCACTTGAACTTCCTTTTCAAGATTTCTTTTTTCTGTATAAACTTTTGATTTCTACAATTCTACGTGTTTTAGTTGAGTATATTGCTCTATCTAGGATAATCTAGACTAGATTGTTACTCCACTTTCCCAAATTTGACTAATTTTCGTAGTGAAATATCATAAATGTTTGTCTTGACGATAACATTATAAGTATTAGATATATAAAATCCCAAGTAAAGTTTAATGTGATCGACCATTTGGAAGTGAAAGATGTAATCTTTTAGGTAAAGCTTAAACTTTTATGCATTTCTACCTAAAAGATTCTGTGTTGTGAAGAAGATCCTTCAGGGGATTGAAGTTTATATGAAAGTTGCTACATTTTTTATAGAATTAGGAACCCTATTGAGGTGTGAAATTTAAGCTTACAAATGCAGAATCTCCTATGACCGAGGAAGTGAATTTCATTCTAATTGGGAAATTGACAAGTGTGATAATTCTTAAAGCCAAAAGATTCGTCAAAGATCATTAAGGTAATTACCACGAAAACTGAAGCTAGTAATATAGTTTCACGTCCAGATTATCTTCTAGTGCTTGTTACCACATTTTGAAAATTGATTAAATATCAAATTGAAGGCATATGGATTTATTCTGAGCTGCTAAAGCATGAGTAGCACAATCAATACGGTTAAACAATCAATACGGTTAAACAGAATGCAATTATGGGAAAGGAAGTAAGGATAGCACATTATAACCAACTTAAGGGGCTGATTGGTTTGGAGGAATTGGAAGAAACGAAGGGGTTGATTGGTTTAAAGGAATAGAAATAAATGGAATTAATGCAGAAAGGTAGTGCATATCGAAGTTAAATTATTTAGCTTTATTTACATCCTAACCAATAAATCCGTAGTAATTATGGATAATGTAAGACACTCTAGCATATTGAATCAGTATGGTTAGTCAAGCACGCAAACCTTCATAAAAAAACCTGGACAATCACTCGAGTAAATACAGACCATGAGAAGATACACAAACTTTAGGTATATTCTATCATGAGTTGGCTTTTAGTAAATCCAAACTCTATTCTGGAATCTATTCTCAATCCAAAATGTAAGCCACTAAGCTTTTTCATTTTTAATTTGTCAGAATATGTAAATGAACTAATTGAAGCTGATAGAAACGGAGGGAAAGAAATATGTGGAGGGACATTCTTAAATCCTGGGTCATGGGATGCAGCACTTCTTGCTGCTGGTATTACATTATCAGCTATGCAGCATATAATTGATGGACACGGGAAATTTGCATATGCATTGGTCAGACCACCTGGTCATCATGCACAACCTACTCAAGGGGATGGTTATTGCTTCCTTAACAATGCCGGTCTAGCTGTACAAATGGCTCTAGATAGTGGTTGTAGAAAAGTTGCTGTCCTTGACATTGATGTTCATTACGGGAATGGAACAGCAGAAGGATTTTATCGTTCTGATAAAGTTCTTACGATCTCCCTTCATATGAATCATGGTTCTTGGGGCCCCTCTCATCCACAGAGTGGAACTATCGATGAGCTTGGTGAAGGTGTAGGTTTTGGGTATAACCTGAATATACCATTGCCAAATGGAACTGGGGACGAAGGGTATGGTTATGCCGTGCATCATTTAGTTGTTCCTGCTATAGAGAAATTTGAGCCTGATATGATGGTTTTGGTTGTTGGGCAGGACTCAAGTGCTGTAAGTGCACTATCTTATTGCAGTTCAATGTTTTGTATTTTGTGATGGAATTTGAAAGGTATGTTGAAGTAAAGTTCATTAATCAATGCAATATCATCTTAAAAATGTGAAAAGAAGGCATATTCAGACATGAAAGATAGTTGTAGATTTGTGATTGGTGTTAGCACACACGTATGCTTCAAATAATATTTATGCTATAAGGTTTGCAGATTAAATTCCATATATCAAAGGTTGTTTCTTTGCAGAATTGTTAATCTACTGTTCATTTGTTACTGGTCATAAAAACCCAATGCTTTTTCAAAAAAAAAAAAAAAAAAAGACCCCTTGTTTCCCCAAGGTTATTCTCTCTTGTTTTTTTTTTCCTTTCTAAAATGTTTCTGAAGGTTTCTTTTGTCTAATTTAATATGGACTATAGTTTTGGTCAAAAACTGTATTATGGTATGTGGTCATTGCCTTCCAAATCCATCTGTTGTTTCTTCTTACCTTCTAATGCATGTTCAAAATATTTAAGTATGCAGATTATGCTTATTGTTCATAATATGGAACTAGTCTGGCTATGTTAGCACACTGAGGTGGAGAGCATACAACATTGGAAAAGATATCCAGTTTGTAATAATCACAAGGACCTTGCCTCTAAGTTTCAATATTCTTCTGACCTCTCTTAACTATTTTGTACCTTAATGACATTGATGAGAGACTTCATCTTACAAGTACCATCATATGTTGAAGGAAAATATTGAAAAAGAATATATATTTTGATATATATATATATATATAGCCTCTCTACCTTTATAAGGTAGGGGTAAGGTCTGCGTACACACTACCCTCCCTAGACCCCATTTATGGGATTACATTGGGCTTTTTGTTGTTGTTGTTGTTGTTATAAAACAAAAAGATGGTTTTTACTTGACCTTTTTAAAAGTTGTTACTAAGCCTTCGATTTGCTTTCAGTTTTTGTTTTCGCATTACCAGAACTTTGTGACATCATCTAAAAGGCAATAATCTTTGAACACGGGGGAACAGGAGGGATGGTCTTTGCATTTTATGACAAACTACCGGGAAGTTGAGCATATTTTATGCTTTTTTAGTTTTTTATAAGAAAGTTGGATATCTTGAAAGGTAAGAGTTTTCCCATATTGTTCTTCAAGAAGTAAATTAGTACAGTATTTCAAACTCGAGATAGGAATGTTAGTTCTAAAAGCTCTATGCACTTAGTGTTAACTTCTCAGAGATGCAAATAATCACATTCTCTTTACATCATGTTAATAAATTTGCTATCATAGAGCTATCATATTATGCTAACTCAAGAAACTTCTTCAACTCGGCTTGAATTTTCAGTTTGACCCAAATGGAAGGCAATGCTTGACGATGGAGGGTTACAGAGATATTGGGCGGAGAATTCGTGGCATGGCTGATAAGTATAGCAATGGGCGGCTCTTGATCGTCCAAGAAGGTGGATACCATGTTACATATGCAGCCTATTGTCTGCATGCAACTCTTGAAGGTGTGCTGAACGTTTCAGAACCTCTATTATCTGATCCTATTGCTTATTATCCTGAAGATGAATCATTTCCAATAAAGGTAATTGAAGCTATCAAAAAGTATCAAAAGGAAACTGTACCATTCCTTAAAGATGCTTAGCAACTTCTGGTGTGACAGCAACATTACATTTTTCCTGAAGTGAAGATTATCCCAATAAGTCATCTACATATCAGCAAAACAGCGCGCTCAAACCAACCAGCTGATGATTCTTGCTCATTTTTCTCCTTTGAAAGGGCGTTGTTGGTTCTATTCTAACATCATTCTGTAATTTGATATATATATATATATATATATATATATATATATATATATATATATATATATATATATATATATATATATATATATATATATATATAATCTTAAACCTCTGTTTTTGAAGCTGATATATTGGACACTCAGAGAATAGCATCGAGTACCGTTGCTATTGTGACTTGTAGAAAAGTTCAAACTTGACTTACTCTAGATTTTTGCTATACTATTTGTGACGACCCGACCCGTCGTCTCATGTGTTACTGCTCCGTTTTCCCCGTTTTATGCTTCTTCACGTTTCGTTATCAGTATCTGGTGTGTTAGAGTTGATTTGGATTGGTTTTGGTAGAAAATGAGACACTTGGTCTCTTTAAGGAAGGCCTGTTTTGGAAAAGTCAACCGGATGTTGACTATTGAGTTAGAGGGCTCGGATGTGATTTCCGGTGATTCGGTTAGCTTCGGGGGATGATTTGTGACTTAACAGAGTGATCGGAAGTGATTTTGGAGGTCCGGTGTAGAATTAGGCTTGAATTGGCGAAGTTAGGATTTTGGCGAATTCCGGTTGGTAGGTGAGATTTTGATCCGGGGGTCGGAATGGAATTTCGAGAGTTGCAGTAGCTTAGTTAGGTGATTTTGAATGTGTGTGCAAAATTTCAGATAATTCGGAGGTGATTTGGTTGGGTTTTTGATCGAATGCGAGTTTCGGAAGAATCTGAAAAACTTAGGCTTGAAATTGATGAGAATTGAGGATTTTTGTGTTGTTGGATGCGTTTTTAGGATTGGAACAAGTTTGAATAGGGTATTGGACCATGTTTGTGCTTTTGGTTGAGGTCCCGGGGGCCTCGGGGTGAGTTCGGGTGGTTAAACGGAGAGTTTTGGGAGTTTGCATATATCTGATGGTATTCTCGCTTCTGCGGGTCTTGGACCGCAGAAGCGGAGGACTCACCGCAGAAGCGGTCCCTGGGGTGGTAAGGTAATTCCGCAGAAGCGAACCATTATTCGCATCAGCGGGTCCGCAGAAGCGGACGGGTAGTCGCAGAAGCGGTGTTGGCATTTTAAATGAATATCCGCAGAAGCGGGGATTTGGCCACATAAGCGGTCCCGCATAAGCGGAAGCGGGACCGCAGAAGCGAAAACTGGACTGGTCATAAAGGGTTTTTATTGAATATTTCATCTGCGAGCTTGGTATATTTTCCTCCATTGTTGAGCGACCTTGAGAGCTTTTGGCGAGAATTAAAGGGAGTTTTGACTGGGAATCGATTGGAGGTAAGTCCCTTGGCCTAAATGCACGAGATTATGATAGATTTAACATGGAAATTGGTTGAAATTCACCAAAAAGGGGTAAAGCTAGGGCTTGAGTTTTTGATATTTCAAATTGGGATTTGATAGGTCATTTGAATTTGGGAGTTCTTGGTATGTATAGACTCGTGGCGAGACGAGGAATCCGGTAATGTGAGTTTTGTAATTTTTCGAGAAGTGGGCCCGGGGCTCGGGTTTTGCTAGTTTCGAGATTTTTGCTATTTTTCCATTGTTTCCGATTGGGTATTGTTCCCTTAGCATATTGTGATGTATTCGCTCTGATTTTGGATAGATTTGACGCGCGTGGAGGCCGATTTGAGGGGCAAAGGCGTCGCGAGCTAGAGATTTCACCGGTTCGAGGTGAGTAATACTTGTAAATGATATCCTGAGGGTTTGACACTCCGGGATTTGCACATCATAGTACTGTATTGAGGTGACTTGCACGCCGGACGTGAGCGTGGGGTAGAGCACCGTTGGGGATTGTGACTTGGTCCGTCCCGGTTGTTAAGGGAAAATGGATCATGGGATTTGCAGGAAATCCAAAACAAGGCACAAGTGTTTAGACAGGAACTTCTAGCACTGCTCATGGGGCTGAAAATTGCTGTACAACAGCATCTCAAACCATCATCATTGAGACAGATGCACATGCAATAATCGGTATGTTTAACTCAAAGTATAATGCACTACACTACTTTTATTAACGATTGCAGGTTATTACTCCAACAGCTGGATAAGCCCTCCTCTACAACACATCTACAGAGAGCAAAAATTGTGTAGCGATAGTTTAGCTAAATATGGAGCAATGCATGCACAGGAGAGCTGCATACTTTTGGAAGAAACACCATCTTTTGCAAAGCCTTCTTATGAACAAGATCAAAACGGCACCATTTTCAAAGACGGCTAATTACAAACTAACCAGCACTTCAACACAATCACTCTCTGAGACAACTACTTTGTGTAATAGTAGTTTCTACCTAGTATTATAATAGTGTTTATCTAGTTCTATCTCTCTTACTAGTAATAGTTCCCACACGGGACTTTAGTAGCAAACTCTAGTTTTGCAACTATGACCCTTACGCATTCTACTCAACTGTTTGTCCTATACGTTTTTGATTTATTATAATATAACTGCATCTTTTCAACCAACAAAAAAAAAGTGTTATCTTTTGTTTTAACATTAAAGTAGGAAGTTGACAGAGAGCAACAACGCTATTACCCTCGGCCAACTTTAATTGATTTTTTTTTCGCCTGTTTTCACACGTATTAAGAAATTTACCTTTTAGCACTAATTAATAATAAAATTGACCATATTAATCTTAATTTGGACCTTAAGAATATAACAAACTCCAAGAATAACTTAAAAAAAAAATTAATTCCTTTTTGATATTCCAAAAAAATTAAATACTATGGATTATAAAAAATTATTAAAAATTAATTAAAATGGAGGGAGGAGTAATGTTTTAGGGACTATGTTTGTCATTTCCTCGAATAAAAAGAGTATTAAAGGTCAAACGAAGTCACCATGTGGTGTTAAGTCAGTCCATCTTCTTACTCAATTCAAATCTCCAATTTCTTCATGGCTCTATCTGGTGAGGGTTTTCCTTCTTCATCTTTACAAGCAGACAACCTCATTCATGTATTCTGGGACGAGGCATGCTGAAACATGACACAGGAACTGGTGTTTTCGATACAGGAATGACCCCGGTTTTCTTGATGTTTTGGAAAAGCACCCAGAAAATGCAGACAGGGTAAAGATATGTTGTCCATTCTCAAAAGGGGTCCTATTTCACCTTCATTCTTGGCACCATGCCGCCCTGCTCTTATCTCTGAATTGTTATCTTTCCACACTCAAGGTACCCCACTTGAACTTCCTTTTCAGATTTCTTTTTTCTGTATAACTTTTGATTTCTACAATTCTACGTGTTTTAGTTGAGTATATTGCTCTATCTAAGGATTAATCTAGACTAGATTGTTACTCCACTTTTCCCAAATTGACTAATTTTCGTAGTGAATATCATAAATGTTTGTCTTGACGATAACATTTATAAGTATAGATATAGTAAAATCCCAAGTAAAGTTAATGTGATCGACCATTTGGAAGTGAAAGATGTAATCTTTTAGGTAAAGCTTTAAACTTTTATGCATTTTCTACCTAAAGATTCTGTGTTGTGAAGAAGATCCTTCAGGGGATATGAAGTTTATATGAAAGTTGCTACATTTTTTATAGAATTAGGAACCCTATTGAGGTGTGAAATTTAAGCTTACAAATGCAGAATTCCTTATGACCGAGGAAGTGAATTTCATTCTAATTGGCGAATTGACAAGTGTGATAATTCTTAAAGCCAAAAGATTCGTCAAAAGATCTTAAGGTAATTACACGAAAACTGAAGCTAGTAATATAGTTTTCACGTCCAGATTATCCTTCTAGTGCTTGTTACCCACATTTTTGAAAATGATTAAATATCAAATTGAAGCATATGGATTTATTTCTGAGCTGCTAAAGCATGAGTAGCACAATCAATACGGTTATTAAACAATCATACGGTTAACAGAATGCAATTATGGGAAAGGAAGTAAGATAGCACATTATAAACCAACTTAAGGGGCTGATTGGTTTGGAGGAATTGGAAGAAAACGAAGGGGTTGATTGGTTTAAAGGAATAGAAATAAAATGGAATTAATGCAGAAAAGGTAGTGCATATCGAAGTTAAATTATTTAGCTTTATTTACATCCTAACCAATAAATCCCGTAGTAATTTATGGATAATGTAAGACACTCTAGCATATTGAATCAGTATGGTTAGTCAAGCACGCAAAACCTTCATAAAAAAACCTGGACAATCACTCGTAGTAAATTACAGACCATGAGAAGATACACAAACTTTAGGTAATATTCTATCATGAGTTGGCTTTTTAGTAAATCCAAATCTATTCTGGAATCGTATTCTCAATCCAAAATTGTAAGCCACTAAGCTTTTTCATTTTTTAATTTGTCAGAATATGTTAAATGAACTAATTGAAGCTGATAGAAACGGAGGGAAAGGAAATATGTGGAGGGACATTCTTAAATCCTGGTCATGGGATGCAGCACTTCTTGCTGCTGGTATTACATTATCAGCTATGCAGCATATAATTGATGGACACGGGAAATTTGCATATGCATTGGTCAGGACCACTGGTCATCATGCACAACCTACTCAAGGGGGATGGTTATTGCTTCCTTAACAATGCCGGGTCTAGCTTGTACAAATGGCTCTAGATAGTGGTTGTAGAAAAGTTGCTGTCCTTGACATTGATGTTCATTACGGGAATGGAACAGCAGAAGGATTTTATCGTTCTGATTAAAGTTCTTACGATCTCCCTTCATATGAATCATGGTTCTTGGGGCCCCTCTCATCCACAGAGTGAACTATCGGATGAGCTTGGTGAAGTGTAAGGTTTTGGGTATAACCTGATATAACCATTGCCAAATGGAACTGGGGACGAAGGGTATGGTTATGCCGTGCATCATTTAGTTGTTCCTGCTATAGAGAAATTTGAGCCTGATATGATGGTTTTGGTTTTGGGCAGGACTCAAGTGCTGTAATTGCACTATCTTATTGCAGTTCAATGTTTTGTATTTTTGTGATGAATTTGAAAGGTAGTGTTGAAGTAAAGTTCATTTAATCAATGCAATATCATCTTAAAAATGTGAAAAGAAGGCATATTCAGACAT